GCATAATATTAAATCTGTCTGAATACTGGAGAGTTGTTGGGTTAAGTGCATTGACATGGAAGGAAATTATGTTGAAAAAAGGCTTGTTCTTTTTTAAATAAATTCTTTATTCATAATTAGGCACAAATTGATGTAACTTCGTAAATGCATATATATATATATGTGTGTGTGTGTGTGTGTGTGTGTGTGTGTGTGTGTGTCACAAACAAACACACACAGACACGCATATATATATACGTATGTGATGCTCTTGCAAACACACGCATACATATATATGTGTGTGGCGCTCTCACAAACTAACACACACGCATAAGTGTGCGTGTGACGTTCTCAAACACACACACCCATATATATAGGTGTGGGTGCCTATGCGTGTATAAATGATTATCTCACAAACAAACATACATGCATGTGTGTGTGTGTGTATGTGTGTGTGTGTGTGTGATTGAATGTGATAAACAAGGAAAATCTTATAAGTTTTTTATCATGTTTTTCAATCGTTCTTTTTCTTTTGGAGGGGGTGGGACTAAGAAAATGTAGAAACTGTCCGTAATCATTATTGTCCCAAGCGCTTTCAGCCAATTATCCATTTTCAAGGGGTACGTTGTTAATATGTTTTCTATATTTGTGTTCTAAATGGTCTTGTCACGAAATAGCGTTAATTCTATGCTGTGCGAGAAGAAATGTGGTTGTGATTCCATGTTAGGGTGTCTTTTATAGGATAGCCAAACCACGTTACTTCCATTGTCAAATAGTACTTTGCTAGAATTGTTTTATATAAAGAGCATCTATTGTCTTAAGATATTGTCAGCAATTGGATTTCTTTAGAATCATAGTGTTATCAACAATTTTTCTAAAAGGCAGCTGTTTGTATGGGGTTTTATGGCACTGGGATCACTTAAGTGGTTTTTCATCCTTCTAGTGACTGTCGTCGACGTATATGGAATGTAGATAATAGGTTTCTGAAAAAAGACCCAATCTTCTACTGTGCAGCGAAATTTATTTGGCTTCATAACTCTTCCGACAACCTTAATCGTAAGTTAGAAGCTGTGGTCATGTTATTTTCATGGCTAACTCTATATAAACACACAGATCTTTTCCTGTGCATTCATTAGTTTGTTCATTGAATACTGCTGCTATATGTGGTCTGATTCTCCTACTATATATCTCGAGATACTTGACAAAATTCAAAGAATGGCCGGTAATGTAATCGATCCTGACCTGGAATCTCGATTTCAGTCAATTTCTCACTGATAGTTTCCTTCTATTTTTTTCTACAAATATTTTTATGGCAATTGTTCTAATGACCTGTTCTTAATGCCCCGACTGTATGAATTTAAGCATTCTACTTGATTGAAAACTATATCTCGCCGTTTTACTGTGGAAGAAGCTAGATGTAACCGTATATTCTATTTCAATACTTTCTTTTCTCGCAATTCTCGCCTGTGGAACCCTCTTCCGGTTTCTTGTTTCCCTGCTACGTGCAGTTTTCAAACATTTAATTCAACGTCAGTCGCCATCTACTGTCTTCCTGGATCCTGTTCTTTCATTGTCCTCGCTATAATCTTCTCATTCTATTTCACACCCAGTAACACTTTGCGCCTTAGTGGCTTTATCGCCTTGCTTGGGGTGAAATGATTAAAAAAAACTTCAAAGATTCCAATTATACAATTAAAAGTTTATACCTACTTGGGCTCACTTTTTCACCAACATGAAGTTATATTGCATCAGTTACTAGATCTACTTCAAGAAAAGTTTGTTCATTGTACTGTGCCAGACAATCATTCTCATCAGAGTCCATCTGGCACATTTATAAATCTACCATTTATCCTTACATTGAATATTGCTACCATATCTGGTCTGTTGCTCCTACTATTTACCTCTTGTTCCATTCTAATAGATTCTTTTCACACACTTCTCACTTGTCGAAACCCCTTCTGATTTTTTACTTCCCTGCCAACTACAATCCCCCAAAAATTTGAGCACAATGCCAATCTTCATTTTCTGCTTTCCTGAATGCTGTTCCTTTATTATCTTTCTCCTCATTTCTCCACATACCCTGTACCCCTCCTCTCCGTCCCAGTGGTATTATCGCCTTGCCTGGGTTGAAATGATTAAAATAAATCTCTTAATGCAATGTAATGTCCAGTGAAAATGGGAAAAATTCTACACCAAACACGAAATACAAATGCCAAAGATACTTTACAGCATTAAATTCTATTGACCAATGAAAGTATCAGAAAATGAGTAGGACAATAGGATAGGATAAATGTAATCTGACGTTAAATTTCATATTTCATGGATTCAAGCGTCACTTTGATAAACTGTCGAAAGAATTCAAATATCTACTCATCGTTCAGCTGAGCTCTCCCAATTTTCACAACGAATATAACAGTTCAGTTGCCTATTGCTAAAGGAGTTAATTAGGAGGAAGTAATTTAGTCCTTCGTTCACTCAGCTAATGATTTATTGCATTAACTTTTGCGTCATGCTATTAAAATTTCATCAAGGTGCCGAGCAGTGGAAATGAGTACAGGGAGAAATGGGCTCATGCCTATACTCATGGACAGTGAACCGATGTTAACATAAGCAGTCTCGACAAGGAACCGAAATTTTGATTCCGATGAGAGTTACACCTATTTTTATGCCCCTGCCTCACTCTAGTGAACCGTACTTATATATATATATATATATATATATATATATATATATATATATACCCTCACCCTGAAAATCTGTTTAGGTGAAACCTAGGTAGGTTGTTCCTGGCTCTTTAGGATTTATTTCATATATATATATATATATATATATATATATATATATATATATATATATATATATATATATACCTATGTATAGGATTGGTGTCGATGGAATAAAATCCAGTAACCAAAATCACTATTCTTAAAAGAATGCTCAATACAAAATAGATAAAATAATATAACAGCGTTTCCCTTATTGAGAAGTGTTTGGTTCATTTAAACTTTTTAAAACTCTTTATTCTACATTCAACAACATCAATTGAGAAGACATCAGAAGTGTTGAAACAAAATAGCTATTTTTGTAGTGATGTTACGACATGTTTATGCTATAATTTTTGAATAAATAAATTATATATATATATATATATATATATATATATATAAAGAGAGAGAGAGAGAGTCTGAGAGACTGAAGATCACTTGAGGTGTGAAAATGACATTCACCTTCTCTATCTCTGATACTGAACATTCTTCCATATAAGTATAGAAAATTTTCGAAGATTGTTTATAAATAGTAATTTCTCTGTAGCTGAATGGTATATAGCACGTCAAATCAAATGATGGTTTCTCGAACATTCAGGCCAGTAAATGCAATACTGTTTAATTAAAAACAGAACATTTACTTAAATAGTTTCTATAGAAATAACGTATAAACAGAAAATATATCATATATATATGTGTGCGTGCGCGCGTGTGTGTATGTATATGTATAAGTGGACATTGAGGTCAATACTCAATGATGACAGTCTGTTTCTTGTTTAAACGCATTCTTCAGGCTTATATATATATTGTGATGTCAACGAACACTCATTGACACTTTAGTAATACTCGTTTGTAGTAGAGACTTTGTAATCGAAGATACAACTGTAACAACGCAGTTGAACAATACTGGTATCAGACGCCCTCGAATAACATTCGCACTAATAGCTCTTGCTCGATAATATTCGCTCGAAAAGTAACCAGCGAATAGTGATCTGTATAGTGATCCGGGTAGTAATCCGTATGGTGATCAGTATAGAGAAATAGTATAGGGAATAGTATAGAGAATAGAGATCCGTATAGTAATAGAGGATAGTGTAGAAATAGTGATGACTTAGACGCCACGCTAATTCTCATATATTTCCTTTACTATCACATGATCTGGTTATTCAAAATGGGATCGCCTTTGATTGCTCTTCAAACTCCAGTGTCAATATATATATATATATATATATATATATATATATATATATATATATTGTGTATATAGGCAGCAATCCCTCTTTTATACATGCTTCGTTAAAGACCACTGACAAGGAAATGAGGTTAAGATTTTTATTTAATTCTTTTTGTATTTTTGTAATTTTTTTCTTTTCTGGACATAAATTATATAGAAATTAACATAATGTTCTGTATGTTCTAGCGTTTTTTGGCTATACTCTTAGTCAGTATCAAGTATGATTTTATCCTCATGCTCCGAGTTCTCATACTACTACCGACAGTATCGTTATCCTTTTTTATTAGCTTATTTTCTAACCTACTTTTAGCGTTTATTTATGTATCTATATGTATGAACAGATGGATATTATATTTTATGTATACATAATATATGTATGTAGCTCCATGTGTGAATTAGCTGATATGTGCGTGAATATGTGAATGTGCGTAGAAATATGTTCTTCTCTGCATCAAGTAAACCTTTGTGGATATATACAATTGTGCTGCTTGGATTTGTACTATTTTTCTCTCCCATTTTCTCGTCTGCCTCTCCACGGATTTGTTTCCTTGTATCTTTGCTTCTTTCATTATTTTTTGTTTGTTTGTTTTTTGATTCTTTTCGTTCTTTCTTTTTTTGTTTGTTTTTTGTTCGAACGACAACAAGGATTAACCTTCTACCAACATAATCCGACCGAATCCGTCAACACTGACAACGATTTAATCTGACTTCTCCCCATTCGCCCCACTTCGTCTCTAAAACTCCGTTCACGCCTACCCATAATTCCACATTTTGCTTTCCTCTCTCTTGATTTCCCTACTCTAAATTATTTATTTATTTCCTTGCAGTCTTAATTGGACACCATCCCTGTCACTTCATTTTTACGTCGGCCATGTTGGCTCGTGTTTAAGTCGTTTTATTAACTTGGAAATAAAACAGAATAAAAGATTTGAATTCGAGTAGATGTTATAGCTCATTCAGTAAGGTGTGTGTTAGCAGGTTCTTTCTTCATATTAATAAAAAGAGTATTCAAAGATGAACTTACGGCTACATCATGTTAAAACACCGGTTCCCATGCAGTCAACAGAGTTAAGCAACGTTGAGCATGATTAGTACCTAGACGGGTGACCGTTTGGGAATACCAGATGCTGTAAGCTTGTATGTGCGGGTGGTGTAATGGCTCGAAATTTTTATTCGAAGAGCCAAGTTCCAATTCCAAACAGGTTCGTTATAGCGAATTTTCCAGCGTAGCTTAGATGTGGCACAAGGCCGAAAGTATGGGGCACCCAATGAGGATCGAACTCACTACTCAGTCGTAACTGTTCTAGCGAGACAAGCTTGTTAACCATTACACAAGGTGCCCAAATAGGGTTCGTAATATTCACTTATATGCAAATACCCTTGAAGAAAGGCATGAATCCACGTCATTTCCCCAGCAATGGGTTAATTAGTAAGTCTTGTATCACTAAACCATTATTATCTAAAAAAAAATATTAAAAAAATCTTATAATCAAAAATATTTTCTGGCTTTAAATAACCTGAAAAGGGTTCATAAGCCGCATAAATCGAATCAGTCAATCGAAACATAGAATAAACCTTTACAACTGTTCAAATAGTTATCATTATATTAGCCGTTTCCCTGTAAGGAAACATTTGGCATTCATTGACTGAGCAGCCAGTACTATTTTCGGTTGATAGTTATAAAATCAGTGAATCAAATTCAAAGGTAAAATAACAGATATAAACATTCTTTTTGCTTTCTGAAATTTTTAACTGAGATTATTTACACTGTCAGAAACAAACACGGAAATGTAAGTTTTTTCTTTTACAATTCAGTATTTTTCCTATTCTTTTCTTAACATGGTTAAGTTACGGATACTGTACAGGTTGCGATGGATGAATTGTCGTCTAAATTACACAAAAATGAAAGTAACACTGACATCTCATTTTAACAGATATATTTACCGAAATTACACAAAAATATCTTGAAATACTAAATAGTAAATTTTATTCAATAAAATCTCCATTGGCTTCAACCACGGCCTCTAGACGACTTCGGAATCTCCTGCATCTCCTCTGGACGGTCTCCTTGTTTAAGTTGGTGAATGCTGCCATAATCCTTGCCTTCAGTTCATTTTTGATGTTACAAGGAGTTTTGTTGGTCTCTCGCTCAACTGCACCAAAACATAAAATTTAAGGGTGTTGCAATCTTGGCCAGATGTAAGCGGTGATGTGGTCGCAGAAGTTGTCTAATAGCCATGACTGGGTTCTCCTGTTCGTGTGACATGATGCAGAGACCTGTTGCCAGAGATAGGGTCTTCCATCAGCCAACCCCTTGACCCAGGGCAGCACTTGATATAGGCCTCCGTGTTGAGTCTGAAGCCCTCTGGGAAGATGAATGGAGGTATAACGTCGCCATTTCTAGTGAGCACTCCAAGCAACTACGTAATCACCATTAGATTCATCGAACTCTTTCCGAATGCTCTGCACTGTCCTTAGAGTGATACCCAAACACTCTGAAATGTTCGTATTGGTGCTTCCGGCGCAAATGCGTGCCGTTTCCAAATTTCTGGCAGAGTGAATTGTGTCATCGTATTCTTTTCCTCACAGACGGGGTGCTTCTTGTGTCTGACTGGAAGTTACCTTTTTAATGGTCTCGATACGATTGAAAGAAAAATGTGTGTTCTCAAATACCTGGCGCATCCCATATGTTTGTGCCTGTATGTACGAATATTTGCACACACACGCACACATAGATACGATGAGATATAGAAACAAGAATGAAAATTATTTTGAGGCCCAGTCAGGTTTGCCTAATCTGAGAAGGAAATTGAATTTATATTTTCACTTAAATTCGCCTTCTTCTTCTATGTGCCGCGTCCCTTCAGGACCTAGGCGATCATGGCTCTCCACAACTTTCTATCCCTTTTAGTCGTTAGTAGTTTTTTCTCGCTTTGCCAAGCCTTCCACCTCCCGTTCCGCCATCTATTCACGCGAGCCCATTAGGCAGCCTTCCCCTATCTCTCTTACCCTCCCCTCTCATTTTGCGTCCAAGAAATTTCCTCTCTCTCTCTCTCTCTCTCTTTCTCTCTCTCTCTCTCCCTGATCTTGTGCAGAATTGTTCTTTTTGTTGCCATTTTTAACACTTCCTTGTTGCTTACTCGCCCCATCTATGGAATTCTCAATATCCTTCTGTAGAACAAAATTTCTGTTGCCTCCAGTTTTCTATTTATCCGTGTGGCGGTTGTCCAGCATTTACTGCCATATAAGAGGATGGATATCACATAGTGTTATATTCCGTGATAATACGAATATATACTTGAAAAACAAGATGGATAAAATAAGTAAAGGTTTGTAAAAACCAGTACAATAAGAATAAAGGTAACAGTTATGCACAAGGTCGTCGCAAGTCAATCCAGTAGTGAGTGCTACTATTTGGAAGGTCGGTAGTTCTCGCATATGACCGAATCGTACTCAACATATCTCAGCTAGTAATATTTACCAACTTCCCAACAGGGTAGGATGTGGCACAAGGCCGAATTTAATGTGGGGCAATCCGAGCTCATAGGCTTGGCCAAAACTTCCCCGTAAACACCGCATAAATGGGTTCAGGTCTGTCTACCTCCCCGGACGAGACTCTGCCCTTCGGCATAGCCTCGTCCGGGTTCCTCTCTGCCCGAAGTCAGAGAATTCGAAAACAGCCAAGAGCTGAATAACAGATCCCAGCTAGAATATTTAGCTACCCCACCCACGGGGGTTGCATGTGGCACAAGGCCTGTTTAACGTGGATTCTCCGAGCCCGTAGGCTCGGCCAAAAATATTCCCTTTATAACCCGTATAAACGGGTTCAGGGGCAGTCCACCTCCCCGGACGAGACTCTGCCCTTCGGCCGATCTTCGACCGGGTTCCTCTCTGCCCGAAGCCAGCGAGTTTGGCTGTATAGCTGGAACAGATCCCAGCTAGTCTCTGTAGTCCATCGACTTACAGATACTTATAGCTTGTTACTACTTATAGTGCATCATGGTCACAACTCGTCTTAGTGGGGAGACAGATTAAATACCTAGTGTAGTCCCCCATGGGGGTGACAGGTTATTCCATTACATCACATAGCAACCCAGTCAATCAGAACAATAAGACTATAAGAGATAGTTTGATTTATCACTATCTTTTACGTGCATTTCACTAAAAATGTCCAACATTTTATGTTTTCAATTGGAAAAGTAGTCATCGATTGTATGTCTTCTATTTACGAAAGAGCAGACTTCGATTTTTTTCCCTCATTTATATCTTTTACATCCGGCTGGGTCCGCGTTGATAGCCTGCAAAGTGTTTAGATAAACACACTCAGGACGTATTAGTTCGACACGGCCTTGATAATTTAGAATCGGAATCGGTATAACCCAACATAACATTTTTTTATGGTTTTGTTCAATTATTGAATGCGGTAGATGTGAAAATCTCATCGGTAGGGACAACAACGCTATCCGTTCCGTAATGATATTTATCCGCCGACCGAATAGCGTAGAATTGGTAAATGGAAAACACACACACACACGTACATATTCAGGGATGTGTGCACATATACCTCGTTTGTCATGAGTTCTTTGCAGTGGTCATGGGACTGCGCTAATCTCCCACTAATAAACGATATTTGTGGAAAAAATCAAGAGAGCTTGGAACCAGATGTCCTCGAAAAATGCAAGCTTCATTGTTTAATATAACACAATAAATACTATCAACTACTTTAACTATTAAAACTACTAAGAATAAAGATAATACTCATAAAAAAAAGTGATGTTGTTTTTACTGGTAAAAATAATAATAATCCTAAGGTGTAAGGTCGAATGGAGTTGTGTTTTAACAGCAGTGAAATTGAAAATACGCAACAAATTACGCAGCACTTATTTCGATGAACCACATTACTTACAGCGATTACTTTGCTACTTATTTCATAATTTATCTAAAACAGTAAATTGATTAGTGCGTTACCTTAAATGAGTTTTTTCAAAACTTATAAAAGTGGGTTGAAAGCGTTAAATCGAATATCAAAAACTTGAAATTTATTATTATTTATTATGAATTTAAATTTATGAATTTAAATTAGGAGTTCAAAAACAATTTATTTATGAGATTTATTATGGAGGAAAGATATATGAGAAAGTGAAAAATTTTTCGTGTGATGCGTTTCACCCTCTTAGACATCATCAGACTAGGTTTATTTACGTTGACGTGACTACGCATGCGCACGAATGAGACGCTGGGGATATTAAATTTTGAAAAATGTTTTTTATATGTGTTTTGGGTATATAATTAGCCAATTCTATTTAGATTCTTTTTCTTCTCTTTTTTTTTGTTTCCATCACCAGTTTATCTCTGATCCTCCAGTCAACCACGATATCCTACAACAATCGCATCGATTTTTTCCCTTAAAATGCTATGTTTTTTGGGACCCTTTTGCACGTTTTCCTTTTTTATTGGTGGATGTTCATCTGAAGATTATGAAAATGACATTGAGTAATTCAGTTCTTCAATTGATAAAAGGTTACAAAAACGTAAAAACAGTCTTAGCTTACAATAATGACGGGGGGGTGGCTATAAAAAGGCACTGTTGATTAGTAGTTTAAACAATGGACTGACTATTGTTTACGTCATGTGGCAATAATTGCAAGTAAAATGATGCACTAAAATAAGTAACCTAGTATTTGCTTTAAGTTCTCTGAACATCAGTGTCAATTGAATATCATAGTAGTGCTAACTGAATTCTCTAAGTAGAGAGATGAGCAGCAACAGGTCTAAGGGAAAGACTACTCTGAATTAAAAAGTCCTAGGACCACGTTAAGCAGGAAGGTTTGACGTGGGGATAACAAGTCCAAACTATCAAACCCTGTTTGCCATTGAAACTGCAAATAAACGAAAGGATGTTGAATTGCTTTGTTATAACAGTCCTGTTATATGACAGTGAACACTGGACAATTTCCTCACAGATGAAAAGGCAATTTGAGGCAACGGAGACATGATTCTACAGGACGATGCTTGAGAATAGGACAAACTGAATATATGGGCAACGACGAAATTTTAAGAAAAATAGAAACACAAAGGACACTTGAAATTTCTGTCACATAATAACGAAGGATGGCTTGGAAAATTTCGTAAAA